GGGGGGGGGGGGGGGAGCGTACTCTTATGTCGTGCATGCCTTAGCGGATTGACCATGCGTCCTCGAGAGGGGAAGGTAGGGGGGGGATGTTGACATTCTAATGCTGGGGTGGGCACTATCTGTGTTCGCCAAAAGGACGGCGTTGCGGTACTAAAGTTCAAAGGACGAAGCTCTGGATCATGCGATTGGCAACAAACAAGGCGACGGTAGAAATTCTTGTGTTTCGATGTATCAAACATCGAAGTACACTAGAGGGGGGTGGGGAAGAAGCATAGTAGTTGAAGTAAACGCCGTACCAGTGCTTAAAATTGCTCATGCTGACACCATTATCACGCCTTTCATCACTCCCTCGTCCTTTTCGAGATTGTCTGCTCCATCCACTTGATTACTACACATGCCGAGCTCATGCTGAAACAAATTGGGCTCGATTGTTACCAGTAGTATCGAGCCAACCAACAACTTACATGTTCGGGATCTCCGGGTCTCGCAGCAATCAAATCAGGTCGGATTGCTAGTATAACGACAAGATAAACCACGCACGTCGTGTTCAACAAGACCAAGACAGCAAACGGGGACAAGACGAAAAAATCGCCACACAAACATCATCGAGGACAAGGCGAAGGCACGAGGTCTAGGCTTCCCACCTTGGAGGAGGAGATGAGCTTGGAGAGAAGCTTGACCATCATGCCCAGACGCCTCTTGCGGCGGAGGAAGGCAAGAGACACCTTGGCGTGCTTGTCTTCTCCAACATCCGCCCACCTGACAAAACACCACCGGCCAGAGACACAAGCAAAGTTGCCATTCGTGTGAATGAGAGACGCCACCATGCGATACTAGAGAAACAGGGGGCACAGGCAGAGAGGAGAAGAGCACAAACGAACGCCCAAGAACAGAGAAAATCATGCAACAGAGGGAGAAGGAAGGAAGAAAAGCAGCAACGCCTGAAACGAAGTCGGGTGAAGCGGTCCAACAACGGTCTGCTCCTGCTCTCGCACCAGCATCTTGGTGCCACGAGCTTGGCTCTACCATTGCTATTCTTCACTCACTACCACCGGCCGATTCGGACAAAGCACAAGAGCTTACCCGGCCCGCGTGCCGCAGGCGCTATACCAAGTACGAATGAAAAGAATGTGTTTTCGAGCAACGACAAGAACGCCGGCGAGAACTTGTTTATTTCGTCACACCCCACTCTCGGAGAGCACCATTCTAAAAACAAAAACAGTGTGGAAACTCAATAGCTGAAAGTGTCAACACCAGCAAACCTTCGCCCCCACGCAATTGCAGATCAGCGACAACGCGCACTTAGCGCATCATACGGCCTGAATCATGTGGAGTGAATCCAAGGGAAACGAAATATATACCACTCGAAATAATGAGTGTCGCTGTCCTCTCGCCAAAGACGAAAAAAAAACTCTTCTCTGTTCGGGTCAACAGCTGCTTCAAGTAAATGTGCGCTTCCAACTGAACCTGGGCCAGTGTAAGGTGGAGTTGTTGATGTTGCTGTTGCTGCTGCTGCTGTTGCTGCTGCTGTTGCTGTTGTGTGAGGTTTCACGACCCCACACAACATTTGTACCCTATTTTTGTTTTGTTTCCCCGCGGCGTCGTATGTGCCGGGTTTTGAGACCACGGGCTCCCCATTTTTTGTGGACTATAGAGCTAATGTGAGAAACAACAACAACAACAACAACAAACAACAAACAACAAAATAATCTCCTCGACCACCAA